TTACATCACCATGTGCAATGCAAAGTGTCGGATGTAGTGGTGTAAAGCACGCCACAACTGGATTCTAGAGCAGTGGAGACGTGTTCACTGGAGTGACAAATCACGCTTCTCTGTCTGGCAATCTGATGGGTGTGTCTGGGTTTGGCAGTTGCCAGAAGGCAATGCCTGACTGAATTTTGCCAAGTGTAAAGTTTGGTGGAGGAGGATTATAGTATGGGGTTGGGCTTGGCCCCTTCGTTCCAGTGAAGGGAACTCACAAGGCATCAGCATACCCAAAACATTTTGAGAAATTAATGCTCCCAACTTTGCTGGAACAGTTTGGGGATGGTCCCTTCCTGTTCCAACATGACTGCGCACCAGTGCACAAAGCAAGGTCTATAGAGACATGGATGAGTAAGTTTGGGTTGGAGGAACTTGACTGGCCTGCACAGTGTCCTGACCTCAACCAGATAGAACAGCTTGTTGGGATGAATTAAAGCGGAGACTGCGAGCCAGGCCTTCTCGTCCGACGTCAGTGCCTGACCACACAAATGTGCTTCTGGAAGAATGGTCAAATATTCCCATAGGCACACTCCTTAACCTTGTGGACAGCCTTCCCAGAAGAGTTGAAGCTGTTATAGCTGCAAAGGGTGGGCCAACTCAATATTGAACCCTACGGACCAAGACTGGGATGCCATTAAAGTTCATGTGCGTGTAAAGGCAGGTGTCCCAATACTTTTGGCAATATAATGTATGTGTAAACATGGTCACCCCTTAAGAGAAAACAAATGTATCCACACTAAGGCAAGTGCTAATGGGACTGCACCCCTACATAGAACAAAACACCAGACTGACAATCTTCAATATCATTTGTCAGATGATGGTTATGTTAAGACCAGAGCACCTGTTTAATAGGATGGACTACCTTGAGAACACCAGAAGGGAAATCTCACCTGAGTGTTAAACCAAAAGTGTTTTTTCAGTCTAAAAGAGAACTCTTACATAGTGAGCCCCTCCAAAAAAAAGCTCAGCTGCAGTTTCATTTGTGATGGAAAAATATAGGGCCTGCCATTGCTGAATTATTAGGAATTCTTGACAATTGTTATACTGCCAACAGGTTTCAATACTTTGACACACTGAACCAGCGCACATGTGCAGTTCACGGGAGTCAGATAGTTCATTAGTCCTTACTTGCATTCTTGTACTTGAGAAGATTCAAAGTACTGAAGAATAAGAGTGGCATGACAGCAAAGCAAATAGCACCACCAGAAAAAGAGCTCAACAGTGTCAGCCTCTTCTTTATACCTGCAGCTATTGGTACTCTTCTTTGTTCGTGGCAATCCATGATTGTAGTTTGTACACCATGAAATGTCACCAGACTTCATACCACCAGCCACATGTTTCTAGTGAACACCTTTCATCTCCTATTACATTACACATACTCCTCCAGCAAATAGGACGTACAGTACACCTAAACTTAAAGGGAAAGTATAGTATTTTAATAGAACTTTAGACATGTGCATGTGATCAGCTTAATGTAAATCTGTTATGAAAGTGATTTTTATATACAGCCTGTAAGTATACATGTACATGTACATAGGAGCAGAGAAATTTGCTCATGTTATCTGCCTTCTGCTTTTCAGTCCTACACAGCTGGTTGTGCTTTACAACTCCTTCAAACAAATTAAGTCTAAGTCTGCCCACCTACCAAAAACAATGCACTCATATTAAGCATAAAAATGATAAATCCTGTTTGTTCCCACTTAAAATACACCATCGTTTCCCTCTGAGTGACAAAATGATTCCTAAGGATGAGGGTAACGGTACTTCGTTCTTTCATTGTTGCAGGTTTGTGCATTTTGAAACCATGATATTTAAAGACATGTTTTAATCCCAAGCATCCCTGTGAAACAGGTGTTGCATTATTATTTTGTATATCAGATCATCATGACCAATACCACTAGACTCTTTCACTAACTGGTCACTTGAGAGAGGACATATGGAAAACGGAGGGTGCTTAAAGGCAATGAGATTGGGTTCAGTTAATGCAGGTGAACAGTTTGCAAGGCAGAGCCTACCATTACTCTTTGAAAATGCCCTGAAACCAGAACTGGGAAAAGTAATTTCCCTTTTACGTACACGTTTCATAAGAGCAGAGGTTTGGGAAGTGAACTCCAGAAGACAAAGCGTGCAAGTATTTCTAGAGTCCCTGTTAATACATTGATCGGTTTTAAATTTGGTTGAAATGTAGAATTAAATTTCACAGAAAACTGGTCTTGAGAAAATGAAGGTTGCTACTACTGACATCTAAAAAAATTCTACTTACCTGGCTGTCATGCAGAAACTCCAGCTTTAAGTACAAGTAAAGCCATGCATAAAACGTTTGATATCTTGGCAAGTTCAACAGGTACCGGCCGAGATTCGATCCATATATGGGCAGGATGAAAGTACCCAAGCTGATCGATCAACTTAGGTACAACCAGCCTGCCGGATTTTACATGTAAAAATCGCTAGCAGCTGTTATAGCCACCAACAATAATCACTGTCTTCTGGTGGAGATGGCTTCCCCTGGTGGGAGGGATATCCCTGTCAATACTGTGTTGGAGGAATTGAGCTGCCCGTAGTTGCGGGACAGAAATTCACACAGTCTATGGCCTGCCTAAGGGCATCTGAAATTTGTCCAAGATTTTGACCTACCATACATTGTCTCAAGTCAAGTACTGAAGCCACTAGTTCAGCACAAAAACAAACTACCATTTTTGAAGAAAGTCAGCAATGCAGCCCTCATCTATAATTCCATCAGGAGTGCTGTAAAATGATTTGATTTACACCAAAACACATTGTGTAAAGGTTTCTATACAGGTTCATGTAAAATGCATGACTGGGAGATAAAGTCCTATTCAAAAGAAAAATGGGAGGGCTAAGGACAGGAAATATTTACATCCTTACCCCAAAAAGGCAATAGGTTTAAGTGGAGATCTTAATAAATGGATAGTGACTTCCTGAAATGTACCATATTCCAATTAGCTCAATTCATGAACATAAATGGTTACAATTAATATACCACAACCTGATGTGCTCATGGTCACATATTTTATACCTGTTCTATAAAGAATTAATCTTCCTTAAGGAGATCTTATCTGGATAACATATCAGTTAATATTGTTTTCTTTTTTTTTTTTAAAGAGGGAAGGCTTGGGTCTGTCAACGTCATGCTTGCTTCCCCAACTAGCAAGTCTCCAACCCAGAACAATGGTGCAGATGGCCAATCTGACTTGTTGGCTGAGATGGCAGATTCCATATTTTAACCCTGACACCTTTAAGGCTGCTTTCACACTGATCCATTTTTCTTCTCTTGTATTTAAAAAGCGGAAGAAAAACATGTGAGCATGTAATCTTATTAAACTCCGGCTTGGTGCGGTAAAATAAAATGCACCAAAAATGCATTTAAATAAATGGAAAATGCATCAAAAACAAACAAAAGGCACCCCCCATTGCGTTTCTGAGTCACGTCCTATAAAAAAAATACACAGAAAACGCAAAAAAAAAAAAACTGCATATGCGTTTTTGCTATGAATATGTGTGAAAGTAGTCATACAGATGTTACAGCAGTCTGTCTCTACAGCAAGCTCCATTACCAGAAATGAAATCACGTCTTACTTATGTTGATGTGATCATGTCCACACCTATCTTTGATGGATCATTGATGGGAAGCCAAGATAGGTTACACTAATTTAAGTTCTGAATGTGAGAAGTACACCTCAGGGTGTAATGACTTGCCATCTGATAAATTAGCAATCAGAAGTGCATTTATAGACCTTGTATGAATACAAAGACAAAAATGTGAAAACTCTATATGAGTAAATTTAACATTACATTTAATTCTAATAATTAATATAAAAAAAAAAAAAAAACATTTTTTACAGTCATTCCATGTTTAAATTTGTTCATGAGGATGGTGGGGTTCAAGGGTCTCTCCTATCGTATCTCTAATTTGGTGTGCGATGCAGAAAAAGACAGATACCAAGTCTTCTCACATGTGTTCTGCTTTGTGTCAGTCTCTTTAGGAAAAACAGGAAATGAACTGCAGCTCAATAAATATGAGGAAGAGATCTCCAATGCCCTAAAAAGAGGTGGCATTCTGCTGTAAAATTCACATTTCAACATAGCACCCTAAATGTAGGACTATTCTGCAAATCATCTCACTGTTATGCCAAGGTAATTAGAATGCCAACAAAAACCTAACGATATTCACAGCTCAGCAAAAATATACAGTTTTGCTTTGCTGAGGATCCCTTTCACACTTAATAGACCTGTCAAGTTTGTATGTGTTAAAGAAAAATTAAGGAAAAACTGTACAAAGGCAAAAGTAGAATAACAAAAAAAATATTTTACTAAAACATAAGATTTACAGATTTCCAAGACAAGCCATACAAAATGGTCACAAGCTTTGGATGGTTTAACACTCAAAAAGAGAAGTTAGTTATAATTTAATAGGGGTCACACTGAATTCACAACTTTGTGTCTTCGGGCAAGCTTGTCTGTCTACAGAAGCGAGCTAGGGGGCTAACATACTACAGACAAGTTAGCCTTTTTCAAACAATATTAATAAAAAGGAAGTACTCATTTGTTAAAAGGGGGAGGGAAAAAAAAAAAAAAAAAAAAAAGTAGGATACTGCAACAACCCTAGACTATTTCCATTTACAGTGCTCACACTGAAATTATGATGCTAAAATGGAAACTTACAGGAGGTCTTGCCACCTCTTGAACATTAAGGAACATGCTGATGATAATCTACTGCCTCTGCTCATGCGGTACAACAGTGAATCAGGACAAGACATGAGATTTGCTATTGTGCACTTAATCACCAAAGACTGACCATGTCTGGGCTTTTTTTTATTCTGTATTTTTATTTAATTTTTTTCTTTTTAAGACTGTGTCCATTGAACGCAAAGAAAAATATAAGGAAGAAATCTTGGCAGAACAGAAGAAGTGATGCACACTTGAAGAGCAAGATGAGTTTAACAGTTATTCGTGGCATATAGCCTAGTCCATGCTCTGGCTGTAAGGAAGAAAAGAAAAATGTGTCAATGTCAACAATACAACAGAACCACTGAACCATACAGCAAATCAAATGCATTATGATTACGAAAAAACAGTGCATGGAGCCATAACCTGAAAGAACTGGACTATGTATTTTCTCAGTCAGACCTATAGCATCTCTTGCTATTCAAATCTTCAGCAATAAAAAACCCAGTTCTTGAACAAGATTTCAATTTTAAAAAGTACCATAAAATCACCACCTAAAAATCAGGTCACATGATCATATTTCAAATTATACAGCCTAGGAAGGGAGACTTACTAAATAGCTATGACATGGGGAGTACTATTTTGTCAACTAGCTTCTATGGGTAGAGGGAGTAGCGCTATGTCACTGGAAGATTTATTGGCAGTATCACTCCTGTCTTACTGCAGTGTCAGCCTATGGGAACTCACTGGCATATCAGGACAGATTTAGTTCATGTACTAAAATGACAGTACGATTAGGGGTAAGGTTTGCAACAGGAAGAATTATATTGTAAAAGCAGCAGGGTGATGGACTACTCAGCAGCAAGACAAGTTAAATATGGTAATGTGTGTAAATCAAATTACTTCTATGGCAATATTGTCTTTTCTTGGATATTACAGAACTTTAAGCACCTAGATTTCAATTTGGAGCTAAAAGAAAAGCATGCAGCAAGACTGGTGTTAATCTGTGGCTCCAATAAACTGGAAATGATGCCTTTGTGTAAGTATACCTGTCTCTATAGCTTGGGCTTCATTTGTCTTCCACTGCTCAGCTACATCGTTTGCTAATGGATCGTCTGGATTCGGTGCACTTAACAAAGCCTGAATTGATAGAAGCACTGTACGGATCTGCAGAGCTGGAGACCATTTATCTGCAGATAGGAAAGAGACATTCAACACACTGTCACTGAGGAAAAAAATAAAAATGTCAACCACTATGTTCCAAAAAAAAAAAAAAAAAAAAAAAAAGAAAGTTATAATCGTCCTAACAATTTAAAGTGGTTCTAATGTCTAAGAGTGTTTTAAACTTAATGCATTTCCTGCGTTAGTGAAAAAAACTCTCCACTTTCTGCTCCCCCTACCTCCAAATGCTACCAGAGCCTGTCAGCTCTGATCCAGTGCTGTGCTTAGCTGCAGGCCTTCTCTTCACGTCCTGGTATCACTGGAGACTCAGGCATGGGCAGGAACCATTGGCCCCTACTTGAGTCAGTCAAATTCTGTGTGTGGCCAAGCCACACACAAACCAGGTCAGGAGCGCACCGGCACCTGTGTTTCCCCACAGCAAGCAACTTGCTATGGGAGCACACACAAGAAAGTAGGAGTGCCGGCAGGGTACTCCAGAAGAAGCGGTAAGGCATGCAGGTAAGCATAGCATCTTTTTATTTTAATTTTAAAAAAAATTAGGCTTTAAAAACAAACAATTAGGGTTGCTCCAAAATTTTAGCCTTCGAAAACATATAGATCGACATTTTGCCAATAGGAAAATTTAGCCGATACAGGTGCTGATACAGGAGACTGTGTACTGCAGATGTGGAGGGGGTGGCAGAGAAAGACAGGAGAGGCGCAGTGTATACAGTGACTGGCTGTCTATATGTCATTGCCAGTTTTAAATGCGATTGCCGGATTTTTTCTTTTCCTAATTACATCTCAGAGAATGAGCGGTCACTTTCCCTGAAGCTAAAGGAAACTAAGGGGCGGGGTCACCCAGTGACATTACCCAGTGACCCCACCCCTTAGTTTCCTTTAGCTCCAGGGAAAAGTGACAGCTCATTCTCTGAGCTATATAATGAAGAAAAAAAAAAAAGCCGCTAATTGCATTTAAAAACAGACACTGACATGTAGTAACAGCCAGTGAGGGAGCCTCTCTGTATACACTGCTCCCCTCCGTGCACACACTGACCCCCTTTCCTTACAAAGAGGACCTGTCACTTACATGCTATCACATAGGGACTATTGGTCCCCTATGTGATAGCAATACAATCATAAGTTAAAAAAAATATACAGTAAAGTAGAAAATAAAAAATTGGAGCCTCCCCACCCCCCACATACGCAGACATTTCGGTTCACATTGCATTCTGAATTTTCTGTATCGGTTTCGGCAACAGAAAATATATTTCGATGCACCACTAAATTTAGTATCTTGTCTTTTGCTCAGATACATGAACATAAATTTAAAGATAACACAAAGCAGAATAAGCAGCTTTTTTTTTTTTTTTTGGGATAGGGTGGCGAGGAGGCCTGTTAAATTCTTATTGCTGTATATTGCCTGATGCCAATGACCACTGAAAGGGAGCTATCAGAACCGGAAAAAGGCAATCTCCCAACAAGAATGCTTGCTCTGGTGATAACTTTCTAAGAGGGTATATTCCTCACTTTGAAGAGGCTGTTTTTCCAGAGCAGGAAGTAAAAAGAAATCTCTCCAATGGGACACAGATGACTAAAAATACTGACAGGGGTTTTCACCATTTCCTACTCTATCCAAAATTAAAAGTTTTGGCTTTAGCTATACTTTGATTTTGAATGTAACTTCACTACTGGCAGTTGCTATGGAGTATTTTGAATTGGTGTATGTATGAATCTTTACATAGGACTAGCTCGTCTTCTGGAAAGGCCTCATTACGGCTCCAGTTCAATTCTATCTTCTAGCAGACAAGTATCTCAGCTCTACATTATCAGTTGATGACAGCAACCAGCAGTTTACACTTCAATAACACATGCAGGCAGGACGTTATTATGGTATATTTGTAGACAGCAGAAAAACTCACAATAACTATGCCACACAAAGCAGGTTCTTCTGTTTATTTTTTAACATTTCTAAAGAGTGCTCAGAACTATGCAGGCTGCCATATCTGAACTCTTTATAATTTTTTTTCACCCAAATAGAGATTTCGTTGGTGGTATTTACATGCCGCTGGGCATTTTATTTTTCGCGCAATAAACGAAAAAAAAAAAAAAAAAAAGCAAAAAATGTTTAAAAAAAAAAAAAAAAAAAAAAAAAAAAAAAAAAAAAGTTACTTTGTTTCTATTATAAAATTTTGCAAACAGGTAATTTTTCTCCTTCACGGATATGCGTTGATGAGGCAGCACTGATGGGTGGCACTGCTGGGCAGCACTGATGGGCAACACTGATGATCAGTGTCAATCACCTCTGACAATTGCTGGTTATCGGCAATACTTTCCTCACGCTGTGACAGCGTAAGGAAAGTGCAGCCGATAACCGGCAACTGTATTTACCCGGTGATCTGCTGCGTCATTGGGCCACCACTGAACATGCCCAGGAGTCAATATCCAAAAATATCTCAAATACTTTTTTAAAATTAATCTCCTGTCTCCTGTGTGTGTGACCTCAGGGAGGGTTAAAGAAAGGTGCCCTAGGTTACTACTACTAGAACAAGTTGTGGCCATGCAAACTACGCCTCAAGGAGCACAACTGTCATGTCTGTAGTGTTTGGGCATGAGGCTGCCATTTACAACTGAGGGGCACTGGGTGGAACAAACAACTTAATAAACTCTAAGCCTGCTGGATATAGGAAACCCTTGACAACACATAAAGATCCATTATAAAACAGAGATTGTGACAACACATAAGGGTCTGTTATAAAGCAGGGAATGTGACATCCACAAACAAACATTCCCTGATTGAGTACTATCCAGATTTGTTTTAAATGGAACTATTGATTCTCCAGCAGCAAATGTTTGTAAAAGTCACATTTTCTGCTTTATAAATAGACCCAATAGTGTAGACCATTTAAAAAGAAATAGAACATGGGATCTGTTCTATATTGGTCCCTTAGAAAATCCTGGGCTGACTCCTCTTTTCTCTATACTAGCTGCCTATCCTCCTCCTCTTTTTCTCTTGTTGGTATTTTTGAATGTTTCAGATGTCTTCGGGTCCTTATATGGCTCTGAATTTGATTATATTCTCAGGCAAGAGAACAGTTGTTTCCCCTTACCTTCTACCCATCACCTTCCATACCCCCCCCCCCCCCCCCCCCTCCCAACTGTGCATTTGTTACTCTAACCTTCATAAACTACAGATATTAAATCTGCTGATTGGGATTGTTATGCTTCTGGTCCCTTGTGGATTAGGTTTAAGGTTCCTAGTTTCTGATAACGAACATCATCCTTACTTTACAGAAGACTACTTGTCAGAGAATTCCAATGCTGTTGTACGTTTCTCTGATGGTTTACACTGTCTTTGTTAATCTTTTGACAAACTTGTGATTTTGTCACAATGATTACTTGAGCTATGACTACTGTTTAAATGATATATTTGTTACTTTTAGATCATTTCAATAAAAATACTTAAATATAAAGAAAAAGGGAAAAGTAAAGTAACTGACCACAGTGGCCAAAAAGGTTTAATCTTTTACATAGAATCATGAATTTGAATGCTTATTATAACAAGGGTGCAAGCCATCCCCCAGTGATGTCACAAACCTTTCATGCAATCCTTGGACAGTACAGGGGGATCTGACCGGTAATGCTATAAAAGTTAGACCTCTTTTACATGCAGCAGACTCTGCTTGCTCACCAGGTGGGTCCTGTCTGCTGATCCCCCACTGAACAAGCAGATGAGAGGTCCATGTCCATTCCGCTTATGCAGATCAGACACAGACACAGCCTGCTCTGCTCTATGGGCAGTCGAATGTAAAATGGACTGGCTGTCCATTTACACCGACTGTCCTCTGATCAAATCTGCCCAGATGGAGGGGAATTGATCACCTTCCATTTGTTTTTGGTGAATCAGATTATAGGTAGGTGGGTGTAAACGTACACCCACTGCTCCATAGAGCAGAATGGAAAAACTTAAATGTGCGAAAAAAACGGACAGGCGGACCCGACTGGAACGCTTGTGTGAAAGGGGCCTTACTGAATATGAAAACGGAACTGAAAAGGAAATGATGCACTGCCCTTACATAAGAGGTTTTTTTTTCCTCCTCGATAATACATCTGGATTTGCTGTATATAAGAAAAGAGCAATCAATTGTTATTACAGTAAATGGAATTACAAATGAATATCGGTGCTGACTGGAGATCCCAAAACTCAAGCTTCACTAATCCGAAATAGTCAGCTGCCACTCCAAAAAAGTGCCTTCCTTGTTTACACTTGTGTAGTAAAGAAATTGTGAGTGGCGCTAATAAAACGAATCACGTGCCATCCGCCCTATAGCAGAAGTACTGCTAGAGGGCAGCACGACTGCGCAAAAAACTTATATGTATATACACACGTGATTTGGGGGCGTGTGCGTGCACCAATCTATGCCCGCCGCTATTGGTGGCTGGGGATGTCTCGGTGATCGTCGACAAAGCTGATAGGGTGGAGACCTGTGTGTAAACAACACAGGTCTCTCTCTCGTCAGCATGGATATGCTGCTTTGCATCTCTCAGCACAGCAGAGAGATACAAAAAAAAGCATGTCTCCCAAGTAAAACAGTACACAATGTAAAAACACACACAGCACACAGGTAACCCTTTGATCACCCCAGATGTTATCCCCTTCCTGCCCAAAGTCATTAGTACAGTGTCAGTGCTTTTTATTAGCACTGATCACTGTATTAGTGTCACTGGCGATGTCATTGGCAGCCAGTTCCCATCCAGTGTCAGAATGCCCACAACAGTTCCGCTATAAGTTGCTCATCGCCACCATTACTAGTATATATATTAAAAAAAAAAAAAAAAATCCAATATATACTTTATAACTTTCATGTAAACCAATATACAATTATTGGGATTTGTTTTTAGCAAATTTTTGTTGCAGAATACATTTTGGCCTAAATTTATGAAGAAGTTTACAAATAAAATGTTGAATGTGTCACGCTCCTCAAAAAGTGTTTAGTAATGAATAATATATACTTATGTGTAAATAAATTAAATAAATCTAAATAAATACATTAAATATATTTTTTAGTTATTTATAATTAATTATAGCACTGGGAGTGTTTTAAATATAATTTAAAATTATATCACCATGAGTTAATATTTATTTAGATTTATTTAATTTATTTACACATAAGTATATATTATTCATTACTAAACACTTTTTGAGGAGCGCGACACATTCAACATTTTATTTGTATATTTTCACACAGCATTTTGAGTATGTGGTTTATGTGTTGATGCACCATCACATTTAAAGGAGAAAATTACTTATAAGCATCTCTGTGCCACCATAGTAGCTCACAAGTACACACCCTTATAAGATTTATGAAGAAGTTTAATTTTTTTTATTGGATATGTTTTATAGCAAAAAGTAAAAAATATTGTTTTTATTCAAAATTGTCAGTCTTTTTCTTGTTTATAGCGCAAAAAATAAAAAACCACACGCGATCAAATACCACCAAAAGAAAGCCCTATTTGAGAAAAAAAAAAAAAAGATAAAATTTCATTTATGTAGTGTTGCATGACCATGCAATTGTCAGTTAAAAGTAACGCAGTGCCGTATTGCAAAAAATGGCCTGGTCAGGAGGGGGGGGGGGGTAAATCCTCTGGAGGGAAAGTGGTTAAAAGTGAAATAAAAACAGCCCAAAAAAAAAAAAGTTTCTCCACACACCTTATCGTGTAACCGCTATAAAAACATAAAAAGGTGCCAAATATTTAGCAGTGGACAGTTTATTTCACTTTTAATTTTATTAGCACCACTTCTTTAGTAAAGAAATGAAGCCTTACCTTTCAATATATCTAGACATATTCTTCCCAACTTGTCTACATTCGGATGATAGATTTTGGTCATGAATCGTACTTTAGGAGCTGCCATTGGGTACTCTTCAGGAAGGAATAGTTCAAGTTTAAATGTTCCTCCTTCAAATGGTGAATCCTGTGGACCTGCAATTACAACATGGAAATACCGTGCATTGCTGTCATCTGGTTCAGCTTTTATTCCAGGAACTGGTTCTGCCATTAAGCGCTGGGTTTCCTGTGAAAAAAATAAAGGGGGAAACTTGTATAACAATTATATTTGATGGGCAAAGAAAACCAAAGTATAGAAAACAGTCACATCAAAGCATCAAGGGACTTTACAGTTTCTTAGAAGTATTGAAATTGGACAGCCAGGTAATAATTTTTTAGAAAGAGTCCAAAAATTGCGTACCTTAACCAGTTGCCCTCTGCCCTATAGCAGAAGTACTGCTACAGGGCGGCAGGGCTGCGCAAAATCGTGCATATATAAGCTAATTGCATTTCTGGGTATTGGAGGTGTGCGCACGACACCCTATCCACGGAGCTATTGGAGGCTAGAGATATCAATCACCGGGTCCCGGACGGCGATTCCCGGCTGGCACTTGGCGACTGTCAGGGAAAGCGGACAGGGGAGAGACCTGTGCATAAAACACAGGTCTCTTACCTGTCAGCATGGACATGCTGTTTTGTATATGCACAGCAGAGAGATACAAAGCAGCATGTCTCCCTAGTAAAACACAGCACACAGTAAAACACTCACAGCACACAGTTAACCCACTGATCGCCCCAGATGTTGACCCCCTTCCTTCCCAGTGTCATTAGTAGAGTGTCAGTGCTTTTATTAGCACTGATCACTATTAGTGTCATTGGGGATGTCAGTGGCAGTCAGTTCCCACCCAGTGTCAGAATGCACACCGCAGTCCCGCTATAAGTACTGATCGTTGCCATTACTAGTGTAAACAAAAATTAAAATTAAAATTCCAGTACATATCCACCGCCCTTTGTAGACGCTATAACTTTCACGTAAACCAATTAATTTACAAGTAATGGGATTTTTTTTTTTCGCAAAAGACATGTAACAGAATACATTATGGCCTAAATTTATGAAGAAATTAGATTTTTTTTATTGGATATGTTTAATAGCAAAAAAATCGACAAAAAAAAATATATTTTTGGACTTTTTTTATTTATAGCACAAAAAACTAAAAACCTCAGAAACCTTTGAAGAGCAGGAAATACTGGCATATGCAGGTATGCGTTCTTGATGTCTATGGATGCTAGAAAGTCTCCCTCTTAAAAAGATGCAACTACTGACTCCATCCGAAATGAATTAATCTTTTGGAACCTGTTCAGCCCCTTTAAGTCTAGAATAGGCCTTACTTCCCCTGGGACAACAGCCAGTTGAGTGCCTGAAACAAAGAATTCCTTTTCAATGGATTCATGGATACATTGGACCTTAAGAAATAGGGAGGAGGTATTCCCCGAAACTCCATTTTGTACCCCTGTGCAACTGTAGCAGGGACCCACTTGTCCTGGATCAGCACTTCCTAGATTTGCGCAAAAACCAAAAGTCTATCCCCCATAATCAAGCGGACTTAGAATCTGACCGGGTGGGCTTTTGCACCCAGGGTTTCTTGAGAGAGGGGGGGGGGGGGGGGGGGGGGAGGGGGGGGGGGGGGGGAGAGCGAGGGGGGGGGGGGTGGAGGGGGGGGGTGGGGGGGAGAGCGAGGGTGGGGGAGGAGGGGGAGAGAGGGGGGGGAGGGAGAGGGAGGGAGAGAGGGGAGAGCGAGAGGGGGGGAGAGAGAGAGGGGGGGAGAGAGGAAGGGGGGGGGAGAGAGAGAGGGGGGGAGAGAGAGGGGGGGGAGAGAGAGAGGGGGGAGAGAGATGAGAGGGGAGGAGAGAGAGAGAGGGGGGAGAGAGAGAGAGAGAGGGGGGGGGGAGAGAGAGAGAGGGGGGGAGAGGAGAGAGGGGGGGGAGAGAGGAGAGAGAGAGGGGGGGAGAGAGAGAGAGAGCCCGTTGTCGGGGGTGAGAGAGAGAGAGAGGGGGGGGGAGAGAGAGAGAGGGGGAGAGAGGGGGGTTGGGAGAGAGAGGGGGGGGGGAGAGAGAGGGGAGAGATGAGAGGGGGGGGAGAGAGAGAGGGGGGGGGGGAGAGAGAGAGGGGGAGAGAGAGAGGGGGGGGGAGAGGGAGAGAGAGAGAGAGGGGGGGGCGAGAGAGAGGGAGGGGGGGAGAGAGAGGGAGGGGGGGAGGAGAGAGAGGGAGGGGGAGAGAGGGAGGGGAGGGGAGTGAGGGAGAGGGTTTGAGGAGAGGGAGGGGGGAGAGAGGGGCAAGGCTCGTGTACCATCCATTTTGGGTAAACAGCTTTTCGAAGGTATCTAATTGAGGCCCTTGACTCTCAGAATCATTCCAGCCCTCCCAGTATGCTTCACAGAGCATATGTAGCACGTTTAGTGAACATCCACCTTACAGACACGGTTGAAAAAAAAAACTCCCCTCTTTTCTGGATTTTCATTTCTTGCTACAAAAAACTGAGTACTTCCTGTATAGGAATGGTTATATGGGGGTGGGACTTCCTGTTTGATTGGTTCACTAGTGAAAAGGCTCTATTTAAATCATAATTTTTAAAGAGCAACTGGCATCTCTGTCCCACAGCAGCTCCTCTGACCCGCTGTTGACTCACAGACAGTCCCATTCACTTTAATGGAATGGCTGGTAATGTGGCAATGACAACAAAGTGAGGGACGTGGCGGCAGCAGGTGATGCCCACTAACAGGTGCTGCCATGATGGATCTAAAATGACAGGTGCTCTTTAATATTTGCAAACCAAATGAAGGTTTCCTTTTTAGAATAATAAACTGTCAGGTTAGTAAAACAGCGATATCAGAGCAGATTTTAGGTTAATAGGTTAATCACACATAGCTGGAGAATTTGTGAATGCATCAATGCAGTGCATGTTATCTCAGCTCGTAGAGCTTTGGATTAACTGAATGAGTTTACCAAAAATGTAAATATTGCAGAATATACAGCCTCATGCCACATAAACTAAGCTCCATTTCATGCTGAATAAACTAAATTATTAATGTAGCTTAAATAGAAAACTATCTTTAGATAGATTTTTACTGCAAAAGCATTTTATTAAAATTAATTTGATAAAAATAAAAAAAATCCACCCTGTTTATGGCCTGTTCTCTGTGTCCCATAAAAGAAAAGCATTGCAATTTCAACACGTGTAAACCCAGTGTAAAGAGGTTGCTTACCCACAACAGGACTAAATGTAAAATAACTAAAATAAAAACCCAAAAATATCACAACCTGGAACTGCATGTCCCGGGCGTCGGCGATAGGATTTCCACATTCCTTGGAGACTACATGTCAATCAAAAATGTCTGTATTTAGAATTTTGCACAGCTACCAATATGAAACTCATTCTTGGCTTGGGGAACTTTGGCCAAACGTAAGATTGTAAATTAGGATAGGCCCACTAGTGATAAAGGAAGCTGATAGAGTAAGCTACATTAGTCGAGGCAACTGGGATAGTATTTTAGTATTACTCCTAGTCATCCCTGCAGGACACGTGCTCTGTATTTCGGGTATAGCAGGCTTGATGATGAACCAGGCGGCTAGCTCTGGTTCCCACCTCACTGCTGCGGAATGTCTAAGGTAAATGGAGTAAGATTCTCATCTGAATGAATTGGCCAAAGCTGGTAGAGTGTTTGCTGAGGGGGGGGGGGGGGTTGGCATTAGCTTCTTTCACCTTGCCACTGACTGAAGGGCATACATACAACTTATGTGCACAATGAAAATGTATTCACAACAATTAGATTGTTCATTAACCTGATGACTACTCATTTTTTTTTTTCCTTTTTATCAAAGAAGCACGTCAAACGTGCAAGTAAACAAGCTGTCATACTTCCACTGCTCTGTGCATTGGTTTAGTATAGAGCAGCCCCGGATCCTCTTCTGGGGTCCACCTGCCGGCCCTCTCCTGGCCCATTTTATTCCCCTTTGAGTGCCCCCCCAAAACAAGCTGCTTGTTCTGGGAGAACTTCATGCAGGCTCAGCCGCGGATGATCCACCTGTGTGGTAAACTCTATGAGACACACAGAGCGACGGCTAGGCTGGTGTCCACCTCAACTGGCTGCGAGAACTGACTCAAGGTGGCAGCCAATGGCTTCTGCTGCGTGTTACATTATCAGAAGTTGAGGAGAGAGATAACCCGGGAGCAGCCCCAGGATTTGCTGACATAGCTCATGAGGAGAGAGAGACCTGCAGGGAAGTGATTATGCTCTACCCTGAATTGGGATCGGGCCGTCAGGTAAGTATTAGGGGGTTTGACGGGGGGGGGGGGGGGGGGGGGGTGGCACACTGAAGGTTTTTTTTGTGTGTGTGGTACCTTCATGCTAGAAATGAGACCACTTTATGAGCTTTTCGCACATTATACTGTTTACCGGGGAATGAGGCCTACATAAACATACATACTTCGGTAACTTATGTGCACAATGAAATGTATTCACACAATTAGAAATTATGAGCTGAACATTACAGACCCAGTTGATATGTTTGCGTCCAAATTCAGGCTGATGGACCTCCACCTTCAATACAAATCGTCATGCATCGTAAAATGGACGCACATCATCTACGTTCCACTGTGGAGAGATCTATAAAATTCTACTTATCAAAGAAGCACGTCTAACGTTCATCAAGTACCACAAGTGGAAGGTAATATTTTGCTGGAGAAGAAAAAATGGTTATTGGCGGCCTTCCTAGCTTCGTTTAAGGTGACCTCCAAGCACAAGATAATGTGGAATCAGCCCATATTAGGCGGTGTGCAGGTTTGCAAAAAAGCATCTAATATGTACATGTGCAAGTTTGCAGTTCACTGAAAACTTGATTTTCATATATATATGAATAATGTTAACTTGATCTAACATTTAAAAAATGTTTCAAGCAACACCTTGTGATAGCTGCATGTTAGTCTTCGAATCAACCATTTGGTCTCTGCAAAAACAAAACGAATCAACCGCAAAAATATAGGCTGTGTACATGCATTATGAACTTATGTCTAAACCAATATTAAGTAATTAAAGTGTTACTAAACCCACAACTAGTAACATCAGTCTGTATATGAAGCAAAGCATGCTTGTTATACTCGCTGTGGAACCTAAGGCTAATCCGTGCATTGTGTAAAAAGCATGTTTAATCCTGTCTTCTCTGAATCTCCTCCACTTCCACAACTCATTTCCTGATAGAACAGAGTCTTGGGGGCAAGCTACATATGCTCAGTTTGGTGTGTATTGCTAGAAAGATTTTTTTCTTCCTTCTTGGGAGAGTGCATGTGATCAGCACAGGGCCAAACAGTGCTGTCCAGACAGAGGGTCAGGGGTCATGCAGTCTCATAGGACAGTGAGAAGAGAATGAAAACTACAAGCTTTAACCAGTGCTCCACTGGACATTGATAGAAGTCATAAGACTGCTCTAACTTCTGATGAGAAAAGGCAGTTTATATTCACTAAAATAATTACATTTCCATGTTCTGTGAGACCAGATATAGTGAATGCAGGGTCCTGGGTTTAGTAACACTAAGTCCTCATGCACACTGGACAGTTTTACAGCTGCTGTTTTTGGCTTCTGATGTTTTTTTTCTACAGTCAGTAAACTCCCCAGCATGTTATCCTATGTGTCAATGTACACAGACTAATCAACGTTTTTTGGCAGGGACGTTTTTTGGCTGGAAAAAAAACCCAGATCAAGTGGATTTCTGGAGGAGTTATTTAGCTTTTAAAAACGCTCTAACTCTGAAAAATGTAGTAAAATGCTGCAAACCAGCTGTTGACGTTTTTTGGTTAAGAAAACCCTCTAAAAAACGTGAAAAAAAAAAACAAAAAAAAAAAAAAAAACAAACTTTACCAGCATTAGTCTTACTCCCTGTCATTCAACTGCCAAAAGCCAGAATGTTAGTAGAGACTATGGCATCACCTGGTGATTTAGCCAGTTACAACTGGCCATAGGTAAAATTTCGAATAAAAAATTTTTGGGAAAAGAAAGTTCTAAGAAAGCTCATTAGAGCCCCTGGAAAAAAGTATGGAATCATGACTCTTAGAAAATGTTTATTCAATTGTGTAATTGTACATAGAAAAAAAAAAACACCACAGACAAAAAAAAATAATATTTTTTACTTTTTGCAATTAAACATGTCCAGTAAAAAAATTTAAAATATCAAATTTAGTAATAAATTTAGGCCAAAATGTATTCTGCTACATCTTTGCTGAAAAAAAAAGAAAACAAATCCCAATACGTGTAAATTAAATTGGTTTACGTGAAAGTTATAGCGTTTACAAATGGCGGTATATATACACTGGGATTTTATTTATTTTTTATTTTTACTAGTAAAGGCGGCGATCGACGATTTATAGCGGTACTGCAGCAGGCATTCTCACACTGGGGGGGACTGACTTGTTGTCGCTGACATCCCCAGTGACACCAATACAGTGATCAGTGCTAATAAAAAAAAAAGCACTGACACTGTACTAATGGCACTGGGCAGGAAGGGGTTAACATGTGGAGCGATCAGAGGGTTAACTATGTGCTCTTTTACTGTAAGCTGTGTGTGCGCGCTACACTGTAAGCACACTGCTTTGCATGGCTCTGCTATGCAAAGCCATGCATAGCAGTGTTCACTAGCTGACGGGAAAGAACTGTATTTACGTACAGTTCTCCTCCTCCATCGGTAATGCTCCTCGATCACCGGGTGCCAGCGAGTAATCACAGCTTGGGACCTGGTGACTGACAGCCGAAGCTGCTCGTGTGCGTACCCTAACCAGAGATGCAAAATCGCGTATATATACACACATGTGATTTTGTGCACCCCTGCCGCCCTGTAGTAGTATATCTGCTATAAGGTGGCGGGAAAGTGGTTAGGAACCACTTAAAGAAAACTAGCCAGTCTCAACTGTTTTTGCAGATCAAGCAGAGGAAATAAAATTATTATTATTATTATTAATTACTACGAGTTTATATAGCGCAAATATTTGTAAGCGCTGTAAAAATAGGGGGGGACAATACATAAATAAAAAAAAAGACAAACAGCGTACGAGGGGTAACACACCACACTTACGAGTTACAATCACTAGGAGGGACCTCTGGTAAAGGTATAGCTAGAAAGTGGCTGGGGGGGATTTAACTATCGAGGAAACAGTAGGATGGCCGTTAGGTCAGGGTCCAGCTCCAACTTTCCCTGAAGAGAGGGTTTTGAGGAGCGCTGAATGCAAATTTTCACGGCGACAGTCTGCCCTATGGGGCAGTGATTATCTTGAAAATGGGGGATCACCTGGAGAAGTCTTTTCAGTCGTGCATGGGAAGGAGACCAGGGAGAGGAAGAAGGAGTCCTGTGAAAGCGAAGGGTAAACTTGTGGGTTTACCTGGTGATTTAATTGGTGTCAGGTAGTCCCCCAGTGTTGTGACCTGACATGTAGGTCATAAGGAAATATTGGAAATTATGGATGTGATTTAATTCAGGCAGTCATGTAATACATGATCAAAAATGGCATAAATAAAAAAGTTCCAAATCATCACACCCACACACATTCATCACATCACTTTTCATCCAGTCATGGATCCATGATTGCTTTGTTGCACCACCTCTTTTTTTATAAATGATGGTTTTTGTTTGGCTTTTCTGTATGTATTCATGAGGTGATGTTAACTATCGGTCACAACATATGACTTAAGTTTCTGCCATTTGCTCCAACTTTCTATCCACCATTGGGCAGTTGCCAGACAACTCATGCTTTGGCAAAGTTTTCATGGGGCCCGTTTGCCCTTGCAAGATGCAAAAATCTTGAAAAAAAAAGAACCAAGATCTTTTCGAAAGGTATGGAAAAAGGTAAGGTGTCCAAATTCTCATGTAACTGGTGCCCCAGGCCCTCGGGCAGTAAGATTTAATGTGATCAGTCATCTCCCCCATGCTTCACCTTTGATGTCATGCCCGTAACCCCCCTTCAACCTTTCCATTTGATTTGATTGCTCCAGAAATTAGCACAGTTTTGGGAACAACCAAGTCATCTTTTATACATTTCATTGGAATGGCAAAAAAAAGTTTTGTTGAGAAAAAAAAAAAAATCAGACATGCCCAAAGACTTGTGTGAATTCATCATGAGCACTTTTCATCCAGAGTGGAATGTCCATACTTTTTGCTTTGTAGTTTTTCTGATCCTTTTTGGTCAAATTGAGGTTTTAATGAGAATTTTGCAAAACCATGGCTTTTCTGCAAGTAAATTCATTTTTTTAGGCGCATGCACCTCACAGGTATGAAAAGGGCCAGGTCCCACCAGATACATTGACTCCAGTCACAGTTGCCAGTGTGCTTAGCTGGCTCACAACAGAACTGTAAACTTGCTAAATGGCTGCACATTTCTATCTTGCAGATCAAACAGGCAGATGGCAGCTTCCATGGCTGACAAAAAGATCATGGAGTCTAGTTCTGCTCGAAGGCCTTGTTCCCACCATGGTGCAAAGACATGGGTTTTTCTGCACGTGTTCTGCGAAGGCATAAAAGAGAACTGTTCTCTATGGTCCTTGTTCACACCGCAACACTGGCATCACGTGCAAATTTATTTTACACGCAGGAATCTGCAACGTATCTAACACTCACTGAAACATGCATGAAAACTGTTGTAAACGTGTATCTGCATGTCAGTTTCCATAAATTTACTGCACGTATGGTGTGAATGAGGTCTAAAAAAGGAAGAAAAAAAAAAAAAAAAAAAAGACCGCTTTGTTAAGCTAGGGTGACAGACTACAACATACATGTCATTTGTGCAGACAACATGTTAAGTTTGGGCCTAGGATCCAAGTGGCTACATAAAAAGGTATTCTTTTGAAAATCAACATGTATTTGCAGCCACCACAAAAGTAAATATACTACAGCACAATTGTTACCTTACGAACATTTTTCGATTAAGTCTGGTTCATAATTAAAACACACATAAAATAGGTGCATAAGAGTCTTGAAGAAAGAAAGAATATAAAAAGTGCATCAAGGCAGTTGTAAACAGGAAATCATTTGAAGCCAGTGTGAGTGCGGAATACACGACTACCCACTGCCTACCTATTGTTTCCAACTAGCAATGAAGCTAGACCTGCTCTGCAGCACAGTGTACCTTGTAGCATTGGGTTTTTGGCCTAATTAAAATGCAGACCGCCATATTGATAGAGATTCGTCCAAGTGCTCTAATATTTTTCTCCATGACTATTTATACCTGTACAACTATAGTACTAAGGCTGGATTGTAAACAAGGAAAGCACTGAAAAACATATTTGCTACAAGTCAATTTTATTTTTTTTTAATTAAATGAACCTTGCCACCCTATTAAAGATATGCCTTAACAAAATATATCAATACTCCTCCTCGTTCTACTCCAACGTGTTATGGCCCTTGGGCCTTCGTGCATTTGTTTTCCTTCAGTCAAATATTCATGGAACTAAAAAAAGGGACCTTGCAAAACCAAGATCCCCACAAAAAAAAAAAAAAAAAAAAATGAAAAACAAACATAAGGAGAGTAAAAAAAATAATTTGACTTTCTTGTAAATTCTATATCGGAGTACTGTACAGAACACAGACTTGATATTAGTAGATGCTGGTTAAAGGCTGGTAGCTTCAAGTGAATGGACATTGGCAAAGCTTTTGATTACATGCAATACAGAACACAGAGACAGAGGGGAAGGTGTCCTGTACTCCAAGATATGGAGTTTACAGGCAAGTAAAAATTCTTTTGATTCTAATTGTACAGTACAGGACATAGGCTTGAAATTTTTGGAAAAAAAATGGACAAGCCTGAAATCTGTCTCTTAGGGCCAAACCCTGATTTTATGAAGGCAAGGAACAAAATCCAATAGCAGTGGTAGAGGATCCTTGGTCCTGGCCACAGACAGGAGGTAATGTTGAATCTGGAGGCCAGGATATCCACATCAACAGTCACCCATTTCTGAAATATTAAGCTGAATAGGTTGGGGTGAAGGGTTCATTCCCCGTGATTAAGGTGGTGACAATTTAACCACTAGCCTACCGGGCACTTATACCCCCTTCCTTACCAGGCCAATTTTAGCTTTCAGTGCTGTCGCACTTTGAATGACAATTGCAGTGCCCTGATGATCGGTGCCGATCCCTGCTCTGACAACTGCCGGTTCTCGGCAGTACTTTCCCCACGCTCTGACAGCGTGAGGAAAGTGCAGCCGAGAACCGGCAATTGCATTTCCCTGTGATCAGCGTGTCATTGGACACGGCTTGATCACATGGTAAAAGGCCGCTGTGGTCAGCTGTGTCTGTAGGACACAGTGATCACGGAGATCGCTGGGGGCACGCAGGAGAGCGCTTTCT